TCAACAAAAAAGAATGTTTATATTTGCAGTCAGAGTATGTTTTGCTGGTACAGCTGTAGTGACTGGAAAATTAAGTTGTTACCTACATTAAAGAAACTGCAGCCGAATTCATGCAACCCTATATAGTGCTTCTTGGGAGAAAATCTGCCAGAAAAGATGTCACCTGAACGAAACAGTGCTCTTAGGGTCATAGTAAAAATTGTAAAGGCGAATTCACCGAGTTATAGCTTATACTCTTTACTATGTGATAAAGAAACTAGTAGTAAAGAACCCAGATGCATTCTGAGTAAGAAGGTTAATAAATTTTATCAAAAATGTATGATCACAGAATCACAAATAGAACTTTTATTCTTTCTGAAAGATAGGAAGCCAGTTTAATTTCAACTTTTTAAAGATATGAACTAGATAGCCAAATTTGCTTATCTACAGATTATCTGGTATTTTCACTTAGTATTTCCTGCACAAAATGAATGCAGGATGTTTTTCAATGACCAGTAAGATCAAAGGGCAAAATGAAAGAGGCCTGAAAGAATCATTGCCATAAATTGTTTATGATGTGATTTAACAATTATCAATGAAGTAGGTGCTGTTTGATATTGCACATATGCAAAAAATTACCACCAAACATTTTACACATTTGTTAAAATGCTGATTTTCAGAAAAAAAATGGACAAAGGAAATTTATGATCCTACAATCATTTCATTGAAACATAATTTAAATTTTACTGTAACTTTAAAGCAAAATCATTATAACTGGTTACTAAGATGAAAAGAGATGAGCTTTTAAATTAAATCGTCACTTGCTTTATCTAATCAATGTTTAAAATCCTGAGCTTACTAACACTGCTTTAAAATTTTTTCTTGTTCTCAAGAACATCTCTAGCAAGGCTAGTTTTTCAATTACACTAGTGGAAAAATAGTTTAAATATCTTTATCTACTAGAACCATCATTAAGATTACCTAAGTAAACAACCTCAATTATATTAAAATCCTTAAACATTACATGTTTGTTCCAAGTGTGCATACAAACATGTAGTATGAATACCCACCAGTATTTCCCTCATAACTTTTAGGAAGTTGTCTATGACCATACCACCCTGAATCCACCCTATCTTGTCTGATCTCAGAAGTTAAACAGGGTCAGGCCTCGTTAGTACTGGGATGGGAGAAAGTAATTAACAAGGAGTTGAGTGTAATAGTAATAATCCATATTAATCTCCTACAAACTTTTTGTAATTTTTTTTGCTGATCTACTGAAATAATTTTGTATTTGTTGGCTATAATAACACAAGTGATTCACTTTTTATTATAAGTACCGATCCACAGTTAGCTGGAAATATTAAAAGATGTCCCTGCCCACAGGCTGAGAGGCACCTGCTCCAGAAACAAGTACATCTTAGCAAGAAGCTTGCTGCGTATTACACACCAGAAATTACTGTTAGTTGCAGTGGTTACACATAAATGAAGGCCTTTTTCATGGTGGTGGTTAAATATAAATAAGGGCCTTTCAGGGAAGGGTTTTAAATAAGGTGCCATGTTTGTGAAAAGACAGATACTGGGTACAGATTCAATTTTCTGCACTCAGGATAAGCTCCAAACACCAACTGCATTTCCAACCTCTATTGTTCTAACACCTAAGGAGTTTTAAAGTTCAACCTGGTAAGGAACACATTATTTACCTCTAAACTATCTTTAGATAGACTCACTGTATTTTATAATGTCGAACATTATTTTGAAGAGGTTGTGTGTCTTAGTCTTCCTAGTATTCCACAGGCCAAGCAATGTTTTCAAATGACTTTTTCAATATACTCATATACTGTGTAAGAGGATACAGGGAAATTTTAGAAAAGCCTTAGCTTCTTGAGTATGTCAAGACTTCCCCATGCTCAGTAGTAACTCATTCAGTAGAGTTAGATTTTTGAGGCAACTGTAAGTTTTTGAATGAGAAAAAGGGTCAAAGCCTTGCTATTCCTAAGTTCAGAATAGGAAAACTGCTCAAGTTTATATTCAGAGGATAAAGTCATTTTATTTCAAAGGTCACTTATCAAAAATATCTGCCATGTTTCCCATTGGAGTGAAATAATTGAACTTAAAAAAATACCGCCAGGAGCTGGAGATGTAGCTCAGTGGCACAGTGCCTGCCTGGTAAGGTCCTGTGTTGGATCCCAGGTACCAAAAAACAAACCCATGAAATACATTGGGATGTATGATGGATGTTGGGAAATAGGAAAAAAGTGTTCAGAAGGAAAGGGGAATCAAGGGAGGAGGGAAGGAAAGTAAAAATAGAAGGAAAAAATGGAAACAAAGCTCTTGTACATAGGGAGGGAAGGGGCCTGAGGTGGGTAATGGGATAAAATAAAATTTATTAACAAAAATAAGACCAGGGCCAGGGATTTAGCTCCGTGGTTCCGCTGCCTACCTTGCAAGCTCAAGGAACCGAGTTCAATCCTGGGTACAAAAAAAAAAAATGGAAAAAAAAAAAAAAAAAAAAAAAAAAAAGACCGCCCCCCCCACTAGACACAATGTTTAGTTTTTTCATATATTCATCTGTAGCTGGATATTTAGGCTGTGTCTTTATCTTCACTACTACCACGAATACTGCAATGAACACAGAAGGGCAGATATCTTTAGAAGGTGGAGACTTCTTGTGGGTTTATTCCCAGAATAGGGACTGCTGGGCATATGGTAGTATGTTTATTTAGGAATCTCCATATTGTTGGCTCCAATCTACATTCCCACTAACAGTAAACAAAGAGTTCCCTTTTCTCTACACCCTTGGCAACATTTTTCTTAACTTCTTGATAACAGCCACCTTATGGGCATTTCCCTAATGATGAATGCCGATCACCTTCTCATAATCCATGGACCACTTTTATGCACTCTGAAGAAATGTTTAGTGAAGTCTTGTCCATTTTTAATTGGGCTATTTCTAAGTTGTATAAATCCTTTATGATTTTAGATATTAGTCCCATGTCAGATATTATTTTTCCCAAACAAAACAAAAATACCCAGTCAGAACTAATTACGGTCTGACTTCAACATACTGAGTTCTCATTGCTACAACAAAGGCAAATATGAGACACAACTAAAGGATTTTAATAAATCAAAACTAGTACCTACTTATATGGAAGCTGCAGGAGGGCAGGAGTGTTTTGTGTTTTGTTCACCAAGAGACCCCAAGTGCCTAACACAGTACACAAACATCTGAAAGATGACCCAAATAGATAACCTTCTAATGTAATGAGTATAGGAAAAGACATTAAGTTGAAATCATTTTTTGCTGGAACGTGAGTTTTAAATGGTTTATAAAGCTTGTCTATTTGAAATAAAATATTCACTGTGTCAAGGTCCAAGGAGATAAATGAAAAACAACCATAACCAATGGTCTAAAGAAGAAAAACACTGCAGTCTCAAGTGTGCTCTATGCACCCATTTATATATTTTAAAGAATCACAACTGGGGAAAATTCAGACATACCTGATCATGACTTCAAAGACTCATCTAATTATTTGCTAAAAAAATTAGGCATACAACTTCCCAGATGGAAATTTAATGCTTTGGTGTTTGATCAACAGCCAACTACCTGCTTTGTACTGAACAGTGAACAGTTATGTAAAATGTGATATCCAAGAGACCATAGCTGCTACTGGAAGAATATGCTCCTGAAATCAAGGTTTATTGTGAGATCTAGCCAGCAAACATTTTACAGTGAAAAAATACAGCATTTTCACTTGATGAAATTCATTCATACTTCTTGTTATTTCAGTGCAATTGATTCTTATAAATGACGTATCACAATGGATACAAAAGAAAAGTAGGTTTGGAGTTTAATTTTAGCACTATCTTTTAAAGGTATTCATCAAACTCAGCCTGTTTTATTTCAAGTTAAGAGTCAGCAACATTTTGAAGTCATTTCATTGATGATCAACAAGAGTAGCAAATGTAATAATCAACTTCATCAGTTAACATTTAAGAGACTTTTTATTCGTTGTCAAATATCAGTTAACGAGTATTTTAAGGTACAGTTTATAAACAGGACATCCATATCTTGATTTTTACCAATGTGAAAATGCTCATCTCCTATCAGACCAGTTCTTGGACTATAGAAACTTAAACAGTAAAGAGGGGATTTAGAGTAAAATCCAGCTCCCGACACACACCTCCGTATCTAGAGTCTGCACTTGGCCTAAACCTGTGTAACCACTGATCCAAAGGCCACTGAATACTAAAATAATTTCTTAAATTTCATTTTTTATTTTAGTTGAAGATTCTACTTACAGAAGAGCAATCATCTTTCCTCCTCCGATTCCTTTTGTAACTTCCAAACCAGTTTGCCATGCTGTTTTTCCTCCCACGTTCTCCTCATAAGGTTTAAATGTACCTCAGTTTCCATTTACTTTATGACTGCATCTTGTCTAAGCTTGTTAGTATTAGCTAATAGTTTTCAAAGATCAAAAAATTTCCACTGTATCATCTTAGGCTTAACTTTTGAGATTAATCACTTATTGCAAGGATTTTTGCCTTCATTAAAATTATATCTACAAATAACAATATAAGAATGTCTCACTTTGGCTTATCAATAAGCATCTCTATACATACCTACATTTTCTGATAATATAAATTCAAGGGCCAGGGATTTAGCTCAGTGGTTCCGCCACCTGCCTCGCAAGTGCAAGGACCAGAGTTCGATCCCCAGTACCCGCCTGCAAAATTAAAGCTTTAAGTCATTTTAAAGCCCAAAATATGATGATTTTTCTTGGTAAACACAGATAGAACCTAACAGGTGATGCCATTTTTTTTTAAAGTGTTCAGCTATGGAAATCAGAAGATTAATTACAAAACACTGGCTAACAGCATAATAGTAAGCTATGACACAGTTTTGAGTGGGACCTATACAGTGGTACTTGGCTTCAAGAAAATTACCAATAAAAGGAATGGGAGATGAAATTACAATAATTAATAGTTAACTGTACATATACACTGATTACATTCTATTTCAGGTACTTTCGTAACTATAAAGATATTGTATTAAGAAGAAACACAGCTGGAAGTCTGGGCTTCTGCATTGTAGGAGGTTATGAAGAAAACAATGGGAACAAACCTTTTTTTATCAAATCCATTGTGGAAGGAATGCCAGCATACAATGATGGAAGAATTAGGTAATGATAAGGACTACTTCACAAAAAATTTATATTCAGATGTTTTGTTTTCTATATGCAAAAGCTTGGCACCACTTGAAGTAAGCCATGTATTTACTTTCAGGGATGGGGAGGGTAAGAAATTACAACATTAGTGTAGCATATTTATCATCTAAGAAATACAAAATTACACATCCTTTTGGACCCATACTGCAGCTTCCTACACTTTTAGCATCCTAGTGAGTTTGAAGAATTTAAGGGAAAATCCTTAGTTAGAAATAATGTAGTTAAAATGGATAGATGAAGCAAAAATAGAGGCATCAAAATTAACTTCAGCTTAGATGAAGATAGTAATCACATTATTTTTATTTTTTTTTTTTAGATGTGGTGATATTCTTCTTGCTGTCAATGGTAGAAGTACATCAGGCATGACACCTGCTTGCTTAACAAGGACGCTGAAAGACCTTAAAGGAAGAATTACTCTCACTATACTTTCTTGGCCTGGCACTTTTTTATAAAATCACTGATGGCACTCATAAAAACAGAAAAATCATAAATAGGCCAAAATAAAATATTTATCTTGTCAATTTTTATATTTAAAGGTTATTAAAAAAATGTCAAGAAAAGTATGATCTAATGAAGACCAGCTATACCTCAGAGACCCTTCTCAGAAAATAAAAACTACTAATACTTTTTATTCAGTATGGAAGATTTCTCATTACTACACAACTTTTAAGTTTATATTTTTCTATTCAATAAAAAGCCACTGAATAATTAAAAATGGTTTCTATGCCCCATTCAACTCATCAACTTAAAGATCTGGTCTAATCTCAGTTCTGCAGAGTCCACTATGAGAATTTTATTTATTTATTTTTGTTGGTACCAGGGATCAAACTCGGGTCCCTGCGCTTGTGAGGCAGGCGGCAGCACCACTGAGCCAAATCCCCGGCCCAACTATGAGAATTTTAAATGTAACATCAGAGGACATAAAAACTGTATTGCTAAGAAATGTTCAAGAAAGAAATAAATATTTTTCAAAAATTATACTTGTCTTTTTTGTATGTGATTCTAATTGTTTAGTTCTCATCACCATTTAAAAGACCCTCAATAGTTCATTCATTCAAACACCAAGTTATCTGTTACCATAACTGATACAGTATCTCCAAGGGTTACTCCTAATATAACTATATTAGTTATAACCTTGTATTTTCTTAGTTTTAATAAGAAATGACTAATCCAAAGCTCTTGTCATGAAGTTTATTTTTATTCACAATACAGTTAGTAACTGTATAAAAACTCCACATGCTACTCTTATCAAGTCTTGGAAAACACATCAAGAAAGGCCAAATGAGCTTGACCCTGGCTCAGATATATGGCCAAGAGGTGGTTCAAGTTTGTATCACGGTGATGTCTGTGTATGTTATCTGCCTGCAATTACATGTAGGGCACTTTAGAAGCTACCCAAATGCCTTACAGACTCTACTGATTTGATATAAAAGTGCCCTATTTACTTTTACCATGGACCCAAATTTAGAACACTGAAAACCTGCTATCAAAAATTGTGGTACAAATAATGTGTACAGTTCTTTAATATGCTAAACAAGAGTGCTATAGCAATGACAAAGGCTAGTTTTAATCTCAAAGTTCAGAGGGCTTGTGATACTTTTTGCAGTGCAACTTCTTATGAGACTGTTATTTAACAAGAAATTTGGCCGAGTGTCCTTGACCATCAGTATGCACACAGCTAAATATAACTCTCTTAATCTCCTGATTCATTCACATTACTCACTTGGATATAAAGTCATTGATTTTTTTTCAATATTAAAAAAAAATGAAGATTTTTAACTTAACATGAAAAATTCACTTTTATTTTGGAAAAAAAGTTAACTTTTCATACTAATACAACAAGATTAAAGGTAAATTTCTTAAACATTATCCAGAAAAATAATGAGATTTATAGTATCTATCTCTGGTACTAATATACACACAGAAGACAAAAGCTCTGCCTATTCTGCAGGTGTGGCTTCAGTGTTCTCCTGTTCAGGGGCAGGCTCGCTGCCAGCTTCTTTTCCTTCTTTGCTTCTTTTAGATTTTTTATGCTTGTGTCTCCTGTGACTGTCTCCTTCTTCACTTTCATGGCGGCGCCTACTATTACTGAAGAGAGAAAAAAGTGTGTTCTGTTTCAAAATGTTGAAATATACAATTAGTGATCAGAAAACCCCACTCATGTGTTTAAGATAATCTAACCCATCCTTTTTCTCATAAACATATTTTGGAAGTAATCAGTCTTTATGAGATTTTTATGTAGAGATTACATTAACATAGGATTAACTTTACCAAATTCCCAGATGAGCAGAGCCCATTTACTTTATTCTGAAAGACTACAAAACAGAATTGAACTTCTTAATCAGAACAGGAAATTCTATTTTATGGAGTTACTTTTCCATAAACAATAGGCATTAAAATGTAATGCCTTTTTATTCAGAGGAGAGGGGGCACTACAAGCCCTAAATTGTTTCTTTAAACCAAACACTGCTTTGTTTAATAATATTTACTATTAAGGATTTGCTCATTTATTAAAATTCCCTCTCTGCTAATGAGATAATGTAATAAACCAAAATCTTTCGTATTATTTTTATTCCACGCTAATTCTGGTTCTGGGATAAACTTGTTAGACTTAAAAATTATTTGTTGAAGCTCATGAGGAACCAACTACTTCAAAAGATTATTCTGAATCTTCCAGTAAAAAACACATGTTCTACTGGCTGTTTGGAACTGTTTGCTTTTACTTCCTTAAGCCAAATTTCTGGCTTCAAAATGAATCAGTATTTTATTAAAGAACAAACCTGCGAGATGACTTGTGTCTGGTTTCTTCTTTCTCCCTATGTCGTCTTTCTCTATGTCGTTCTTCTTTTTCTCTACTTGCTCTGTGACGCTCATATCCTCTTTCTGCATATTCTCTGTATCTGTATCGCTCTTCGTCACTACAATGGAAACGGAATAAATTTTCTTGACACCAGGACTATTACTTCTAAATGACTACAAACTCTAAAGGAAGAGGTCTTAAATCCAACATATAAGCATCTAGTAGAAAGGTGGAAAGTAAGTATTTGTTGAATTGAGTCACAAATTAGTTCTAGATCTAATATGTAATTATATATCATGCTACATCTGCTCTATGCTTTTCATAGTTATGGCATAGAGATCTCATTTAACAATGCTTTATTTCTTCAAACTATGGGACCTGTGGCTGATTAAAATTGTAATCAGCAATCTCATTTGCATTTAAATATTAAAAGCATATTCATGTATCTCAAAATTTCTAGCCAAAATTCTTGTATTATTTGTAAAGTCTTGGACACACAGTAAAGATTTAAAAAATATATGGCTTACGATAGCTACAAGGTAGAAAGCAGATAAAGGTACTTAATCCTTTGGTTTATCAATTACAGAACAGGTACATCATCTAAAGAAGTGTAAACATGAAGAACAGAGTCATCAAACCAATTTTTACAACAAAATCCATAACAATGCACAAAGACTGGACATGCCTGAATTCTGACATTCTAATCCATTCTGTATCTGTTTCTGTGGACATGGGGAAGGGTGTGTGGCACATGGCTAAAAACTGAATGTGTGAAAAATGTATGAATATAAGCTGTAGCTTCATTTCTGTGTCTGTTTAGCAAGGATAGTAACACTCTGTACAACCTAATTATCAGTATTCTAGAACACTGTGCTGAAGAACTTTGATTTCTAGAAATATGTTTAACATAAGCTATTAGTAACTTCCATGAAGCATCAAAATGTTTTAAAAATAAATCTGAATAGAAGTGACAGCTCAGGTGAATATAAGTCACATAAAAGAAAAGATCAGCCTGTGTAATCTTACCTGAAGGGAGGATTAAATAATACTGTTTAATGCCAAATCATATGGCTGTCCAAATTACCTAGTCTACACATTAAACTTTTAAGTATTTTATAAAAACAGAAAATGTATATATATGCACACACATAGATGTACACATGCACACACATGTGTACACACATATATTTTTTCCTAAACATAAACTTATATTTGGAAGCCAGAAGCATATCATCTACAAAGATGGCAGGCAGCCCAGAGCAATAGAAAAAAATATGGACAGAGTACACCCAGACCACATCTTGATTTTGCCACTTATTACGTGAGTGATCCAGACTATTATTTTGTAAAACTGGCAACAATTGTTTTTGGAAACTTGATAATAATATAAAAGTGCCTGGTAGAGAGTAGGTGCTCAATAACTGATGGTCTTTAGTAAATTTAATGATTAATTTTTCAGAAGCAGAACACTTTGTAAATGCTACTGACCGCTGTAATAATACTATGTCTCTGAGGTAATATAAACTAGAACCATAACAAGTATTAAAATTAACTCCTGAAAACTGAGGAACTTTTTGTGATGACTCCAATTAGATTTACACAAAAATAATTAAAAGTCAATTATCTCATAATTTGTCAATTTTAAGCCTTGTCCCTCTTACTATGAAAGACTTTTGCTAGCTTTGAGGCCTTTGATGCTGAAGGTACATGACAACACATGGTGGAAGAACTGGTCCTGCACACAAAATACAAACCTTCTTCCATCCATCCCTTTTCTGATAAGTGGATACAGCACAAACGTTTTGGTGGGCCTGGAAATCATTAGCACTCATTTCAAATATCCTAGAATGACCAGCCTTCTGAGGCCCAAAATTAAGCTGCCTAAAAAACAGATGTTAAACTTGGTCTATAATTTTCAAAACAGTGAACCTGTAATTTGTAATGCAATACATACTACATACCATATTGCTTTTCAGACATTCTTGTCAGTCTTCAGAAACAAATAGCCTTTACTTATACTTCATTTAGATTTTCCCAGAACACAACCTCCCCCTGCCCAGGATAATTCAGAACACACAAAATTCCACGACCTTTTTTGCCTTTCTAGCTTTAAAGTTTTTGTCAAATTTGAGTAAACATTGACTCCTAATGCCCTAAAGCTCAACAATCTGAAAAAGATGATATAACCATTCCATTTACACTTTTATGTTTCAATAAAAATTCAGTAACATCTGCATGCATATTAAATGGAAGAATTAAAGAATTTAGCCTCAACTCTTCTAAAAATATTGTTTATCCAAAGCAGTTTGTGTTCACTGTCTTTCCTATTAAGTTTTGCACTGTTCATTACTTATAAACATTTCCATGGATAATAGTGCTATCTCAAATATATTCATTTTAATGACATCAGAAATCATTCAACTTTCTGAAAAGTAATTCTCCTGAATGTAACAGAATCATGCACTTAAGTGACTAAAGTCCTACCACACAAAATATCCAAGCATATGCTCAGGCATACTTATACACACAAGGAAGCATACATTTGTGCATCATTTTATTTCCTTATTTGATAATAACATTTTAGTAAGGCTCTAAGATATATAAGTCACACTATTAGGCAACACAGGGAGGAAAAAAGATTAACAAATCCTTTACAGTTCCTTCTTACATCTTTTTAGTTAAACTTTTAAGCTAAGAGCCAACCCTAGTTATTTTGAAAATGCCATCAAGGTTTAATGTATAAATGTAAAGGACAGTGTATGAGTATTTCTGGATCTGATTTAGAACAGGGACTAAAAATATCAGTTACATGAATGAAAGAATGAACTAGAATCCCACCCCCACCCCCCAAAAAAAACCCAACAGCATAGAAAAGAAAATGCAGAATGAAAAGTTACAGATATTTTTGAATTACCTAATTTTAAGACTATAAAGGATTTAAAATAATATCAACCATATCTCCAGGTGATATTGCAGCTCTACCTTCCATTTCTGCATTTGACGTATCAAGATTTAGACTAAATAATCTCTAAGGATTTTTTGCATCAAAAAGTCTATGATCACATAACCACATATAAAAGGAACAAATGCTCAACACTGAGTTGATATATTACATGATCTAACCCGCAAAATTTAAAAAAAAAGAACTATATGCAGGGGGTATGGTGACATATGCCTGCAATCCTAGCACTCTGGAGACTAAGCCTGGGCTACACCATGAGTTCAAGTCCAGCCTGAGCTATATAGTGAGACCCTGTCTCAAAAAACAAAACCAAACCTCTGTAACTTAATATTTCTCATTAATTTTATGCATAAAAAGAAATGATAGGAAAAAGTTGTATCTAACTTAACTTCATTCCACGTGTTAATACCCAGACTGGTATGTAAGTAAGATAAGTAAATTTAATGTTCTGGATGTAATAATGGTTGATTTTCATTCATTTCAAAATCCATTTAGATGACACAATTAGTTTTACTAACAATTTTCACAATTGGTTTTTCTTTTTTGGTAACGGGGATCAAACTTTGGCCCTTGCACTTGCCAGGTAGGCGGTGGAAGCACTGAGCCAAATCCCCAGCCCACAATTTGTTTTTCTATATTGTATTATAAGTCATTTATTCATTTACACATTCACCAGGTTGTCAGGCATTACTCTACAAACTGCTAAGGACAAAAGAAAGAAAACTAGCGGTCAATGCTCTTTTCGAGAAGCACAGTAAGACATGCTCATGAAGGTTCTGTCTTTAAGGTTCACTGCAACTCACATGAGATAAAGATAGAAACTGGATATTGGAAGAATAAATAGAAGCTTGTGAGGCTGAAAAAAGAGGAACAACATGAACAATGGAGGTGCAGCTAGAAATATGGAATACTGGCTTAAGAGAGAACGGGCATTAGAATGTACAAGCATAAAGGATGAGGATGTAACTCAGTGATACAGCATTTGCCTAGGACACACAAAAGCCAGACTATAAAATGACTTTTGTATCATCAGAATTTTGATATTTACCATTACACCAGTGGAGTATATTAATATCCCATCAGTATATGAATTCTTTCCAGTGGTAAAAAAAGCTGTAGAAAATGTTTCCAGATCCTCAACTTCCATATTCATTTCTCTGTAAAGTTCTCTATATCTGCAGGTAAAGCATTATACCCCTTCTCTAGTTAACCTCTCCTCTCATAATAACATCCCTCCCCCCATTTTTTTGTAAGAGAAAAACTTTTCTTTCACCAATTTTACCATGACAAATTTTCTTGGGGTATAGAAACCACCACGATTTAAAAAGTGAATTTAAAGTATTAGTCTCAATAAGATGGATTTGAGGAACCATAAAGCTTCCTAGGGCATTATGACTTCTTGTCTTACACATCTTTCTGTCAATGAAAAAGTAAGGAACATGAAAAGGAGTATTTTGGCTTATGTCCTAAGCTGTTCTAAATTCAGATATATTGGAGAGTAATGAAGCAGGACTTATATAACAATTTCCCCTGAACTAGTTTTTAAAAGAATCCTTCTGAAGGACAGTCCCATGAAAGCAAAGCAAAACAGTGTTAGGAAGTCAGCACTGTATTTGCAGCTTTGCGACAATTCTCTTTACATTGGGAATGAAGTCATACTTTGTTCTGGTAGAAACTGTGTGTGTTGGTTGTCTGGCGTGACAATGAGAAATGCCTTTTACCAATTAAGCTACTCAGTACCTATTTTTGATATGGAATGAAGGAAATTTGCAGTTCCAAGGTCTGTATGAGAAATCTTTCACAGATATAAAGTTGTTTCTGAGCCTTAAAAAAATATTTTAACAAGAATACATTGAAATTTATAGTATTTAGGTATTCTGAGCCATTTTGAGTCATATATTAAACAAGTTGAGTTGTCTCTAAATGAAAAGAGTAGCAAGTATAATTTAATGGTCTTTTCATGTCCTGGAAAAGGACTTTTGGTGCTAAGACACCAAGAAAACTGAGGACTTTAAAGATACCAAAGGAATAGGGTTGAATTATACCTCTCAGAACATTTGTGACCTTTTTTAGAAATAGGCCTTTTGCACATACAATCAAGTTAAGAAGAAGTCACACTGGATTCAGCTGGGCCTAATTTATGTGAGCACGGTTTCTTAGTGTCTACATATACATGCATGTGCGCGCGTGCGCACACACACACACACACACACACACACACACACACACACACACACATTTTAAAGAAACTAATTAATGGAAACCCTTACTATTCATCCATGGCTACATATTAATTGGGGACAAGAACAAACTAAATCACAGTAAAAGATGCAGTTTCATTACATTGTTTTCAAAATTCTCAGAATATTTATTCATAAACAATAAATGAAACTAAAATCAGATAAAATTTTTAAAAAAATAATTTAAGATACTTATGGCCATAAAACTAAAATTTTAAACATTTAAACTTACATAAATATATGTTGCAGAAAAGACTGATAGGATAATCAATTTATTATTTTTCTAAATTAAAAAATATTTACTTCAGGCAGTGCTGGGGATCAATCTCGGGGCATTGTACAAACTAGACAAGCACTCTACTACTGAGCTTTCCCACTTCCTAGGATTTTTTTATATTACAGTAAAATTCTTTGGGTGAAGTTGCACAGAAATAAAAATTCAAGCACTAAAAGAAATGGAAAATTTCCAAGTGTTAAAGACAGCCTATTAATGCATTTTTATAAAACAGATGATGTTTGGTAAGTCATAATATCTCCAACCCATTGAGCATATTTAAAAATGATAATCTGATTTTTAAACATTAATATTTATAACACACCTCAAATTATATTGTCAACTAAGCTTAATGCAAAAAATTTTACATGAGATAAAAATTTGTGAGGGGGCATAGAATTATTTTAAAAGTGAGCAAACAAAAAACATGAACTTCCTCACACCAAATAAAAATCTGTAAGTGTAAATGAAATTGCTGTGTACAGACTCCTGCACACCCAACCAACCTGTTGAAAACACTTGGTGTAGGACTGTGATCACGCTCCCTCTCTCTTTCTCTTGTGCGTTCCCTTTCTCTGTCCCGATCACGATCTCGCTCTCTGTCTCTGTCTCTGTCTCTATCTCGGTCTTTCTCTCTTCTTGCATAATAGTCCCACTGTTTGGTGGTGTCCACAAGACTCGGCCACGAAGGAGCAGAACCAGTAAGATGGGGAAAAGCAACTAAATTTAAAAAAATAAAATAAAAACAAAGGTTACAGTACTTGAAAAACAAAAGGCACAACAAAAAGATAAAACTTCCACCAAAAATGTCACTAGATTACAACAGAAATACTTTTATAAATAGAAGAGTGAAATATCACATAGTAAATACACGTAACACTAAAATAACACTAAAGGAAGATCCAGCAATAAATTTCAAAGACCTAGTAACTCTTCATTTGACAAGGTGAACAGGAATCAAAATCAGACCATAAACGTTCCAGTATCAAAAAGAAAACAGAATACATTGGGACATCTTAAAGGTGTTGAAATATCAACCTAGACAGATATATCCAAAATATCTTATTTTAAGACTAAATTATGTAATTTATAAACAAAAAGAACAAAATATATAACCAACAGATTTCCCCACAAGAAGATACACTATCAGATACCTTTAAAAAAAAAGGAAAACCATCCTATAAAGATCCAAATGAATGGAAAAAAAAAAAAAGATCTAACATGACAAGAATAAATGTTTGAATAACATGGTAATTACACAAGCAAACCCAACAAATATTCTATCTAATAGTAGAGGGTTTTCTTGAAGAATAAGGTTAATGAATCACAACAGAATACAAGTTAGAGAAAGATTAAAGTGATCTAAAGTGTCTGTTGATAAAGATGTTGATATTCTTTACTACATATTAATTGATATATGTCATAATAAAATTTAAGCATAACCACTAAAAATATTAAAAATGTAGAATTTCAAAACAATATAGAAGAAAACTGAAATTTAAAAAACAGTCAATTCAAAATGACTTAAAAAGGATGGGAAAGGAAAGGCAAATCAAATAATAAAAGATTCAATTGATCAATTAAGACAAAGACTGCTGATTTTTACTTGTTAAAAAAAGTTTATAGTTTAAAGATAACAAAGGTTGAAAGGAAAAAGATGAAAGGGAAAAAGAGAAAATGGTAATACCCCCATAGTCCCCATATGAGTAGCTATATTAACGACAAAGCAGATTCATACAAAAAAAACATTCATTAGTAAAAAATGATGATACTGCATTGGAATGGAAGATGGAATTAACCAAAAGGAGCAAATTGAAATCCCTGGGCATCTAATAATGCCTTCGATTTTAGAGTGGATACTGCTGAAAACATAGGCAGAAATAGGAAAACCCACCACAATAATGGGAGATATTATTCTCAGTAACTAACAGATTAAATAAGTAGAGAAAAAGAACCAAGTACAGATATATAATTTTTGAGTAAAACATTGGTAACAAGGTTAAATAAATTAGTATAACATGAAACACTGCCTATACCAAAAAGTACTTATTCTTCCAAGCATCTATAAAATTTTCATAAAAATATATACACACTTTAAAGGGTTAGTTGTGATAGTCATCATATTCTCTAAATTTCACACATTAAGTCAAATTTAAAGGTTACAGAAAAATAATGCTCATTCACTTCAAATTGAAAACACCATTTCTGATAAAAATCATGGTTCCAAAGAAATCATAAATTTAAATCACTCAGAATCGAACAAGATAAAAACAAGACATGTCAAAAGTTTAGGTATGTAAAGTATTCTTGAGGGAAACTGAGCCTTGTAATGCTATATTGGAAATGACTGAAAATTAACAGCTTTCAACTTAAGAACTTACAAAATATCAAAATCAAGAGACCACAATTAGGCACTGCAAAGATTAAACAAAGAAAAACATTGTACACTCTGTACCACTGCACTTAAAAAATTAGCTTAAATGGGTAAACTTCTATAAAAACTAAAATTTAAAAAAAAAAGTGTCTCAAGAACTCACTAGTCTTATAACTATTAAAGACAGTAAGTCTGTAATTTAAAATTTTCCCACAATACCAGGTGGCTTTTACAGGTGAGTTCTAATAAAATTAATAGACCATTCCAATATTACCAAAATTTCTAGAAAACAGAATAATTTCTTAAATTTCCCATGTGGTTTCTATAATCCTGATACCAAAACCAGTACATAAGACAGTACAAATAATGGGAAATAATAGGCAAACTTGCATATAAACTTGGATGTCAAAATCCTAAACATCAGTCAACAACTACTGTTAAATAGATAATCAGTCATGACTAAAATAGGCTATTCTCACCAATAATAGTATCTTAACAACAGAAAAATGTAGCTATGGAATTTCCCACATTAACAAAACCAAATCACAATAATCTCAAAAGGCATTTGATAAAACTCAATTATCTATTCACAGTTCAAAAGTGCTTGGTAAATTAGGAGAGAAAAGGAATTTCCTGAATTTGATGTATGGTTCTTTTAAAAAACCTAACAGTGAAAATCTAAAAGGATTTCCTTAAAAAGAGAAAAAGGGAGCTGGGCATGGTGGCGCATGCCTGTAATCCCAGCACTCAGGAGACTGAGGCAGGAGGATCACTGTGAGTTCGAGACCAGCCTGGGCTACATAGTGAGCTCCAGGTCAGTCTCAACTGTACAGTGAGACCATGTCTCAAAAAACAAAACAAAACAAAAACAAAAAACAATAACAAAAGAGAGAGAGAGGAAAATGATCAGGATTCCACTTTCAATACTTCTACAAATAGGACAAAACAAACCCAAAAAGAGGAAGACTGAGGGGAAAGTAACAGTATGAAAAAGAAGAAAGACTATCTGAAGGTGACCTGTCTGAACAGACTTAACAAAAACAATGAGAGAAGCAAGGTAA